ATGATGTGCCCTGTAAACTTTTACTCAATTCACAATAAAAACCTTAAATTAAAAAAAATAAAAAAAAATAATAATATCTGCTTTAAAGTCCTTGTCTGCTAATTTCAACATCTGGATCATCTTTGGGTTAGTCTTCACTAATTGTCTTTTCTCTTGTGTATGGGTCACATTTTCCTGTTTCCTATGTTTAGCAATTTTTCGTTTTATCTTTGACACTGTGACTGCTATGGGACAGACCCTCTGTATTCTTTATATTCCTCTCAATAACAAGGACTCTTTTATTTTACTTGTTTGGAATCAAATCATAAGCTGTCTGCCTTGGTGGGAAGCAACCCTCTTGGGCTGCTTGGAACCAAAGGTCAGGTCAGACTTTGTTTACTATTTAATAGCTCTCAGCTTTCTCTAATTCCCAGCACGACCACTTTCTAGCTGCTAATGATAGTCTAAAACTCTGGTTTCTGATTTGTTGAGTTGGTTAAGATTGTGGATTTTCCATTACAGCTTTAGCTGCAGATTGTCTGCAGTCTATACTCAGGCCAGAAAAACAGAAAACTCTTGCAGTCCAATTCTCTTCTTCCAGTGTCAGCTCTTTTATTTTCTGGCTTTTTAGCTTGCTATCCATTGTCTTCAGATAGTTTTTTCACATTTGTCCAGAGCTTACAGCTACAACATATTAAGGAGTCCTGGTGTTGCACTGTGGGTTAATGCAATGGACTGCAAAGTCTGTTTGAACCTCAAGGTCGGTGATTCAAGCTTACTAGCCACTCCTCGGAAACCCTATACAGACAGGGTTGCTATGGGTCAGAATTGACTTGACGGCACTTAACTATAACAACAACATATGGAATTCATCCAATATGAAGTTACTTTACACTAAAAATTTATCGTTTACACTTTGCTTTTCTCTTATTCTATCCTAAAAATTTCCCCGTATCAGAATATTTAGGTATCATTTTGTATAAAATGATACTGCATGGGCGTTGTTTCTAAGTTATTTAATCACTTCTCATTTTGATTTCCTGTTGGCCCTGTGGGTCAATGCACTGGACTGCAAAGCCAGTTTGAACCACAAGGTCAGCGGTTCAAGCTCACCAGATGCTCCTTGGAAACCTTACACAAGGTTGCTATGGGTTGGAACTGACTCAATGGCACTAAACAACAACATAAACAACATAATCTTACACGTATCTATTGTATTTATGAGCCCTGTGTGGTGGCTCTGTAGCATAAGCACAGGACTAACAAATGCAAGGTTAGCAGTTTAAACTCACCAGCTGCTCTTGGAGACCCTATATAGGATTCCTATGAGTTAGAACTGACTCAAAAGCATACAAAATTGTATTTATGCAAGTATATGCTTTCACTTTTTATTTCAGTTAAAAATATAGACAATTTCTTCTTTAAAAATGTATTTTAAATACAAAAGGAAAATAATGCAATCTATAAAGATTTCTGTTCTGATTGAAAATAACTGACCAGATATTTCTGTTACTTAAAAACAACATCATATATTAATCAGTGCTCAGAGCCATATACCATTCTAGGTCCTACTGGAGTAATGATGTAAAGCCTCACAGAAGTTTAAGGAAAATCCCAGTCTTCAAGTTGTTTAGTACTTTGGGTGGGGGTGGGGGCGGGGGCGGGGAGTTCCAAGTAAGTCAAATCAAAACATTTAGAACAATAAATGTGCTAAGTGGTAGTCACTACCTAAGAGAACACTTCAAGACGTCCCCTAAGTTTGTCATTTAATACCAGGTGCCAGTCATGTACAAATTACTTATCTGGAGACGAAAAAAAAGATTAGGAAGAGAAGCTGAATCAAGGCAACTAAAATGCAGTCTTCTAAGCATAGTACCCACTAACCAGGAATGAACACGGAAGAAATAGTAATAGCGAAATGACTGGAATCAGTTATATCAGACCAGCTGAAGCCAAAACCTATTTAATGCTTTGATCAACTCGATGACACTTAATGACAATAACAAAAACACTGTGTTTAAGGAGCTCTGGTAGTGTAGCGGTTACGGAATTGGGCTGCTAACCTCAAGGTCAGCAGTTCGAAACTACCAGTTGTTCCATGGGAGAAAGATGCTTTCTTTTGCAGCCTTGGAAAGCCTGTGCCGGGTCACTATGAGTCGGAACTGACTCCATGGTACTTTAACAACAACAACAATACCGTGTTTAGGGAAATACGTGTTCACAAAAGTGGTGATTTACATTAAGTCAAGAATAAAGACAGTGAATGATAAAAAAAATGAGTATTTATCAAGCTCTTTAAAAAAGTACAGGATCCTATATGAGTATAAGATCTGGAGGAGACATCTAATTATCAGAAAGATATACAAGGAGACTTTAAAAGCTGGTGGAAAAATTCCATTATTTTCCCATTCCATTCCAATTTTCCATGAACTTTTTGACGCTCCCTCATATTAAAAGAGGGTTGGGCTGGTAGAGTGGGTAGATACACTGCCTTCTCAATTAAAAAATCCTGAAATTCATCTACCTTTGCCCCATTTCCATGCTTTGATTACTACTTAGTTTTAAATCAATAAATGGGTATCATAGGTAACAGATACATTCCAGTCTACTCTGGTTTACCAATCTGTCTCTTTAAGTTTGGCCAATACGAGTCAGTCAGTCATCACGATTCTAATTATTGTTGTGGTATGCCATCGTCGATCCTGATTACATAAGATGACTAATTGACATCCTTCTCTGACAACTTTGCATGAAAAAAAAAAAAAAAGTATAAAAATATTTTTTAATACCACAGTAGACAATTTACAAAAAACTATTATTTGTAAGTAATTTCTTAAAAGGAACCATCAATCTGACTAACATTTTAGATATTTTTCTCACTTACCTTTTTCTTTGTCCACTCTAATGACAACCACACATTCATTCCTGCCAATTCGGATGAGTTTGTTTATAGATCGGATACGTCTTCTGGACAACTCACTGAGAAGAATCATGCCTTCAATGTTGTTGTACTCCAGCAAGCTGACATAAGCACCCATTTCAGCAATGGACCTTACATTCACCATCACTACATCTTCCACCTCAGGAAATTTGTGTTGATAAAATCTACAACTTAGACCCGGCATCCTGCAATTTAAACAACAGAATCATATATATATATATATTCAGTTATTATTAAGGAACTCAATTTTCAAAACAAATAAATAAAATAAATTTTTCACATCTTGACATTATTAGGAAGGAAATAAAAGATAAAGTAAAAGATCGTTTATTACCCTTCTCAGCTCTTCAAATTTCTCAAATGGTAAGAAATTTAAGATGGATGATCAAATACAGAATTCAGGAAATGTTATCAATTTCACACAATCTTTATTCTGAGTAATATCTAATAAGCTCTGCCAAGAACTATGCTTTAATTTTTATCGACATTTTTGTAAGGCTTGGGTGATTCTCTGTTACTAGTTTCAGAGGAATCATAAAAATTAATAACCATCTATAAAACACCAAGAATTAAAGGCACACTCACAGGTAAAATATTACTTTAGCAACACCACTTTAAGGAGTACCAAATGATGGGAAGCATCACTACTCTTATAAACCTATAAGCAAAACTAAGCCACTCCAAGTTAGCTAAGTCTGTGCAGATTGCCACTTACTGTATAAAAGGAAGAATCTCTTCTTCCTCTCATTACATCATCGACTATGGCTACAACCATAATCACAGTACCACATATCAAGATGACAAAATCTAAAAAGGTACTAATCACAAGATAATACACATAACTAAAATGCACCCTTTTTCATTCTCTTTTTTCAAAGAAACTTGAATTTAATTCACAATTACCATAAATTCTAGCTTCTACTTTTCCCATTACTCCCCAACAATTTTTGTTGTTGAATAGGTATACCTAATCTTGAGTATAGCATTATAGATCTTATTTGCTATTAAGTTTTAAGTTTCTCTTAACCTCCAAGCATTATATATGTATTTAAAATCATTTGATCCACCCAAGTCACTTCAGTGTCACCCCTTTTTTCCATAAACAGTGGTTCACAAACTTGTTTAGGTGGTGGAGTCAACATTCTTTAGCAAATACGAAATATTACAATCCCATCACTATGGCCCACAAGCCTGAAATCATACTATGTTGTTGTAACATGCCATCCAGTTTGTCCAACTCACAGTGACTCTGTATAGGGTTTCCAAGGAGCAACTGTTGAGTTTGAACCGTCGACAACTTTGTGGGTCAAACTAACCTACAGTGCCACACCAGGGTTCCAATATCATGCTATGGATAGATGCATATTTTAAAAAAGGAAACTCTCAAATTAATAGTGGCTGAATACTTTCCTGTTAATCTTCACCTATTTACTGGTATCTATGTTCAGAAGGCAATTAGTAATAGGCCTAAAAATCTAAGAAAAATTTTTAATGAATTTATTAAATAACTCCTTTATCTTGTTAATTAGAAAATAAGGCTGCTGCTACTTGTTCTTAGTGGTAGAATATCCACATTCAGTTAGTGCAACATCAGAGTTCAGCTGCAGTGAAGCTTGACAACTGCTAATTGGCACCCACCTTCTCTTCCCAGTGGCTTCCCATTGACTTAAACATCTGTTTACTACCTATGGAGCCTGTATAATTTGGCCACTGTCCAACTCTCTAAGGCACCACTTTCCTCCTAGTTTCCTCCCCTATTTGACAGATGATGAAATCGAAACACAAGTTAAATATGTGTCCTTTCATACACTGCTAGCAAGTGGCAGGTGCCAGGATTTCACGGATGCAGTGTAGACTGAGAGTCTGTACCCTTTCCATCATGCTTGCTGTTATGTGTCGAGTCAGTTCCAACTCATAGTGACCCTGTATAGGGTTTCCAAGGAGTGACTGGTGAGTTTGAACCATCAACCTCACGATTCTAAGTGACCTTGTGGCCCAGAGCTTATCCTAGAGCACCACTTCCTCAATGTTATCAATCAATGTGTCATATGGTACAATTAGAAACATCTAAACTAAAAGCAACATTAATAGTTCTGGACTACATATCACAGATTAGTGCAGATTATATGATAAGCACGACCTGTGAACAAGGTCCATGGTTTGTGCCTGCTAGCCACTCCGAGGGAGAAAGATAAGGCTTTCTGTTCCCATGAAAATTAAAAAAGCCTTGGAAACCCTAAGCAGGATCACTGACTCTGAAGTGACTCAACAGCACTAACATTAGCACTAGTACTGACATGTCTTATATAACAAACAGCACATAATAACAATGGTAGAGTCACATTTCTCCTATAGCTTTAAAAAGTAGGGATTTAGCAAATACTGAGAACTAGACATTCAACTGCCAAAATTAGCTACCAAGAAACAGCTGAGGTGACTTAAAAAAAAAAAAAAAGGTTGTCAAATGTCTATATATAAAGTATTCAACTTTGAAAACGGAAAATAGTTTTAAACTGGGTATCAAAATAAATGATATAATGGAAACATGTCAAACAGTTTAACAGAGATTTAACAGATGCTAACCACCCTAGCTTAAGGAGCTCTGATAGTGTAGTGGTTACAAATCGGGCTGCTAACCTCAAGGTCGGCAGTTTGAAACTATCAGCTGTTCCGCGGGAGAAAGACGAGGCTTTCTGCTCCCGTAAACATTTGCAGCCTCGGAAACCCTGTGCAGGGTCATTATGAGTCGGAACCAACTCCACGGTACTTAACAACAATCATCACCACCCTGGCTTACCAATGTTCTTTCACATGTTCAGCTGTTAACTGTTGGGAAGCATGACTTAATTTGATGATTAAAGAACATAAGCCACAGTGTAAGAATCCTAAGGGGAGAGGAGATATGAACATAACTTCTTTAGATGGTACAAGCTTTTTTGAAATATATACATTAAATAAAGGAATACTGTATATGGTTTTGTGTTAGTCACACTAAAGTAACTAATAAATAGTGAAAGAATCCATTTCACAAAAATCCTGTATAATGTGATAAATTCTGGCCATATCTCCTTATGAAATGCAAATGACAATACTACTTTTTGTTGTCATTTGGGAAAATAAAAACGACACTAGCTTAACTATTTTGAACTAGCCCTTTTTCATTTTTCACAGCACTGTGATTCTATTTGCCTCTCAACAAGTTCTCAAGCCAGGCAAGTAACCTGGTGAACTTTGGGAGCTGGGTTCCAGTTGCTGCTCCCCTACTTGCTAACTGTGGTTGCTCCCTTTAAACTTTGGTTTTCTTGTCTTTGTCATCTACCTCACAAGTTTGCTGAAGGTAATAAATGATATAAGATTTATGTAAGAGCATTTTTAAAAGCATAATGTGTTATAGGAAGGGAATTTTAAAAAATTCCATTTTTTTCCACGAATTTTTTGAAGTCCTCTGGTAGAAATATAAACCGCAAAGGAGGTATTACTTTCATTATATAATTCATCAAACAATTAATGCACTGGACTGCAAGGTTAGTTTGAATTGCAAGGTTGGCGGTTCAAGCTCACCAGCTGCTCCCTGGAAACCTTATGGAGTCGCTATGGGTCAGAACTGACTCAGTACCAGTTAACAACAACAACAACACTACGTACTGCTTGCACAAGAAAGGCTCCTACTTAATGAACTACGAATAATGTACAAAAGAAGCTAGTAAGCAAGTAATTACAATACAGGTACTATGAAAGGAGTAGAGTGAATCATTTAACAGAGCATGAGACACGAAAATATTACATGACTTCGTCAAGGGCAAATGCTTGATAAGCTTTAAAACAGTGGCTAAACTATGTCTTCAAACATCAAATCCAGAACATCTTTCTGTAAACCAGGGCCTTATTTAATGTTAAAGAACACTATGTTGTATGTGCTGAGATTAAATAAATTAAAAAGAAAAAAAAATGTACATTTAAAAATGTACATCTAGGGTCCTGGTGTGGCGCTGTGGGCTAATGAGCCAGACTGCAAAGTTTGAACTGCAAGGCTGGCAGTTCAAACTCACCAGCTGCTCCTCGGAAACCCTATCCAGGGTCTCTATGGGTCAGAACCGACTCGATGGCACATAACAACAACAAAGGAGTCCCTACCTCAAGGCTGGTGACTCAAATGAAGTACCCATGTAATTCTCCTCTGAAACACAAGGGGTTGTCATGAGTCTGATCAACTAGATGACAACTGGTAACTATCATGTGTCTGAGTTTAAACAAATAATAATAATAACCATCTTTCAAAATATATAAATTAACTCCAAGATAATTTCTAATTTTGCATGGTCAAATAAATGGTTGGCCTTTTCTTAAACCAGTGTATGGTCAACTCACCAAAATGGAGACAGGGAGTCTACATTCTTTTCCAAAGTAAAGTGTATAAACGCATGGGAACACCTCTGAGAAAATGACCACACTACCATTCTAACAGTCGTTCTATTAGTATGTGGACCTTTACACATACAGTTTTAAAACGATTTCATTGTAGTTAACACCTAAATATCACCAAAGCTTTGCAAACACTGCTATGCATTAAGCAATGCCACTTTTTGAGAACCAGTCATTGTAACGACAGCACTTAGGAACAACTGTCATTTGGCATCTGAAATAGAACTGAAAATTGACATAAGGTTTCTGTACAAGTAATTCTCAAACTGTTGATGAGGTGTGTTTTTTTCCTTGAAAAACAAATTAAGTTGGAGAAAATGCAGACTTGCCTCACTTTTCAAGGTGTTTGTTGTCTAAATGAAATTAAAGCAGCACATTACTGAAGAGAATTAAAGGGTCCTCAGATTGAATACGTACTTATCCTGAAAGCATTATTTTATACTTTTAATTTTGCTTGTGCCCTGGTGTGGCATTGTAAAATAAGCGTTGGCCTGCTAACCCGAAAGGTCTGCAGTTCAAATCTACTAGCCGCTCTCCAACATCCTATACCTCGGTGGGAGTCGGAACCGACTCGACGGCGCTTACCAACACACGATCAGTGTGAGTTTCTGCAGTTCTACTCTAGAACACGGCAAACTAAGAGCAGGAGCAAGAAATTCCTCAGTACTATAAATTAGTCTGCAGAAATTTACGGTAGCGAAAAAGCAAAAACATGAGGCTTTTAAAAGCCCAATTCTTAGATGAATAAACCGTTCTTGGATCCCCGCTCATTCACATCTTTTCAACAGTGACCCAGCCCACTGGTTCCTGGAAGCGTCTGGTCTGGTATCCATATAGAAACCCTCTTTCGTAGTACTGCCGGGGCGGAAGAAAAGGGAGGGCTGGAATTCTCAGGCCCGGAAACAGCAACGAGCGGCGTTCGCGTTCTCGCGCGGGGGTAAGGGGTGACAGCGTTCTCGGGAGGCCGCCCCATCTCAAGGGAGCCTCACTTTTAGCATACTGAAGAGGGTGTGCTGTCCAATGGCCCACTTTCTATTATGAGGTTCCTCCGCTCGTACAATAAGGGCTCTGGGACCCAGAAAGATCGCCTCAGAACCGGCGAGGCCCGCCGCACAAGCGGTGGTGTCCGGGTACTTCCCGCTCAGGGATGGAAAAGGGAGGGAGTTTTAGCCCGGGGCCCACCCTCTCGACCCCCTGCCAATAGCCACAAATCAAAATAGGTTTTTGGAGAAATCGAGCCGGGGCATTAATCACCTGAGGTACGTGTGTGAGTCCCGTACTAGGGTCTCGTGTCGCGCGCTTTGATCGGATAGATCAGACTATCTCCACCAGGCGCCGATCCTCAGCGTGCGCTTCGCCTGATCCCAGTGCGCATGCGGGGACACCACGCAAGCGCCAACGGAGTAGACGCCCTTCTTTACTGATCATAGAGTCCAGGTCCTCCGAGAACTGTAAAGAATATGGATCAGAGAAGGACGGGGGAAATGCGCTTTCTCGATGTCTTTATTTTTCACTAAGTAGCCTGAAAAGCTCGAGAAAGAGGTAGGACTCCGACTCCTTGTCTCTGAAGAATGGAGTCTTTCTCAAAGCTTTACTAAACCCTAAGGTGGCGCTGTGAGAAAAGACGAAAAGTGGCGGAAGAAAAGGCGTGTCCTCTTAGCTCCTATTTCGTTTGGCGCGTGTAGCGCTTCGCGCAGACGCCGGGGAGCTGAAGCGGGGCGGGGTGTGGGGAGAGGCTGGCTGACGAACCGGAATTGAGGGGTGGTTCCACGGTGCGCACGCCTCAACATCCGGGCAAGCTTCCCCCCCACCCCCACTTTCTTCCCCTCCTCCCGTCCCCGTCCTTCTCTTGTGGTAACAGGAAACGGAAGTGGAGGGCGTATCCTGTTGCCTCTTAGCAACGCTAGGGGTCAAGTGACCCAACCAGCTGACTCCGGTAGGGGAAGTTACAGTGGCTGCGGGAACTAGAACTGGCGCAGCCACGATTGCCCGGCCGGGGACTTGAGCCGAACTGTCATCGTCAGAATGTCGGGCAAAGACCGAATTGAGATCTTTCCCTCACGAATGTAAGTAAAAGAATGGAAAGAGCGGCACGCAGAGGCGCAGGAACGCGTACCGGGAGCGCAATTACTTTAGGTTCTGCACCAGCAGCGAGCGTCCTTGTATTCGGGGTCCATCTTGAGCTCTCTTCCAGCCTTTTTTTTCTGAGTCTGGGCTAGACTCTCCGACAGCCTCCACTCTGATTCTTCGGCGGGAAGCAGATAGGACAGCGATTTCAGCCCGTAGGAGCAGGTGCTCACTCGGCCTGCTGGCCTCTAGAGGCGCGCTATCTCCACGCAGTAATAGAACCATTCATTCCATGTACCCTGATTGAGGTCTACCCTCCGCCAGGCCCTGTGCGGGACACTGGGCTGAGATGTCTGAACGTTCGCCATTCGTGACCTCACAAAGCTTGCAGTTTAGTGGAGAGACACACAAGAAATGACGTTTGCCAGCTGCTCTAAGAAGGCCAGTTTAGTGCGGTGGGGAACACGAACAAGAGGATTGAATGGAATCGCTCCACCGTGGACGTCAGATTAGATCTTGGATCCTCCTATTCCTTTGCCATAAACCCACTACCGTGCAGTCGGTTCTGACTCGGCGACAGAGTAGAACAGCTTCATAGGGTGTCCATAGCTGTAAAACTTTGCGGGAGTAGACAGCCTCAGCGACTCGTGGGTTCGAACTGTTGATCTTGCTGTTAGCATCCCAGTGCTTAACCCACTGTGCCACTGGGGCACCTTTACTTTTTTGCTTAGTTAGGTGCCGTGGAGTCTGTTCCGACTCAGCCCAGCAGAGCAAAACATTTCCCTGTCCTGCGCCATCCTCACAATTACGTTTGAGCCCATCTTGTTGGGGGGCGAGGGTGGTCTTCCTTATTTTTGCTGATCCTCCACTTTGCATGATGCCCTTCTCCAGGGACTGGTCCCTCCTGACATTGTGTCCAAAGTAGGGAAGATGAAGTCTCCTCATTTCTAAGGAGCCTTCTGGTTGTACTTGTTCAAAACAGATTTATTTGTCCATTGGCAGAAGAATACTTTCAGCATTCTTGGCCAACACCATAATTCAAATGCATCAATTCGTTATAATTTTTCTTATTTATTATTCTTTTCCATTAGACACAGTCAGTTGCCATTTTCCCTTGTTGGTGGGAGGCCATCCCTGAATTTCTAAAATCCTTCTTTTCTCTGTAAGCACTGCACTGTGTTCACACCTATGTTATTATCCATCACATTGAAAAAGGATATTTGTTTACATACCTTTCTCTTGCACTGACCTGTGAGCTTCCTCCAGGTTGAGAGAGTGCCTTGATTAATAATAACTCAAGCAGTTCCACAAAAAATGTTGCTTGAATAAATGTCATGCCTTGGAATCTGTTCAGCTGTAGGGCTCCCTTTTTTCTCTTTTAGCCTGAATTCTTTGGCAGGAGAACTGGTGCTTAACCAGTTTGTAAAGAAAATGCTTAATTTTTTTGTACTGTGCCTTGTAACCTGTGGAGAGTAAAGCTGCTTGTTACCTGTGCTCTCCCCCTCTTCCCATTTCTTATTTGCTTTTCATTGAAGAAGTAGAATAACAGTTTGGACTCAGACATTTGGATTTTTAGTGATCTTCTTTCTGGGCTTTCTGTTGTTTTTCTCATCGAGTCATTTTTCTCAAATATATGAGGACACATAAAATAAAAATATTAAAATTCCAAACCCAGATTGCTAACTTGGCCAGGATAGCTATACCTCTTAATGAAATGATACGTTTTTATTTGTTACCTTCACCTCCTTGCTTTCTACTAGCTGTTTGCACTGGTTTGGAAGGCAATTTTTATTAAATAGATAAGGATCATGATGATCAAAATGCTCACATTTCTTGGTTTTATTTTGTTTAGGATGAACAAAGTTGAAATACGCTTGTTTGGACTTAGACAATAAAAACTGTACATTTATGCAGGTGAAAATTGCCAGTTGACAGGAAATAAAGTGTAGGAAGTAATCACTTTTCTAAATACTTTTCTTTCAAGGCCTGACAGCTGGTGCTTTGTCATGTAGTCAGATGTCTCTGATTCAACTGGAAACAAAGCCATCATCTTAGCTGAAGGAAAACTTTTTTTTTTTTTCATACTGTTACTTCTGAACCATTGGCCACTGAAAACCATGTAGAGCTCAGCTCTACTCCTAACACACATGGGGTTGCCATGAGTTGGGATCAACATGAGTTGGCAGCAACAAGAATGAGAAGCAACTCTGAAAAAAGTGAAAGAGCAGATTTTTATTTTTTGAGACCTGGGTAGAAAATACCCTGGAGACTACTATTTTATGGACAGTTTCACATACAGTATTATTGTGAAACTGTTCACCTTTAATGTGCACCAGAGAAAATAAACCAAGTTTTGAGTGGAACTAAAAGAGACTTGCAGGATTAGGAGTCAGTAGAGGACTGTCAAATCCAGGTTCTGCTACCTAGATAAGGAGTTCTGGTAGCATAGTGGTTATGAGTTGGGCTACTAATCTCAAGGGCAGCAGTTCGAAACTACCAGCCATTTTTTCAGGAGAAAGGTAAGGCTTTCTGCTGCCTTAAAGATTTACTGCCTTGGAAACCCTATGTTGGGTCTCTATGAGTTAGAACCGACTCCATGGCACACTACCACCACTACACACATCCTTTGTAAAGTTTCAAAATGAAAATTTGCCCACTTCAAAGGAAATTAAAATTAGTGGCAGAGTTTAATCTTAGCAATCAATTCATCTTAAAAACAAAGCAAAAAAAAAAAAAATTTCATCTTTGGTCATCTTTGTACTATAAACTTGATGGAATCTGCTGTACTAGGTTTTGGCTTAATTTGCTTCAAGCCCAAATTCCAGTGGTTAGTGTCAACAATAAAGTATGTTAGATATACACATTGGAGTGGATAGCTCCTGCTCAGGCTGAAATCTGAACCAGTTTCATTTGGTTGGACTTCAAGTAAGACCAGTCAGTGCAAAGTCAGCCACACCGCGGTACATGCTTCAAAGAAAGAATTGTCATCTATCTGAAACTATTTATAATTTTTAAGAAGAGGTACATTGGATTTAGATTTGAGCCTTAGGTAACTCACTGGAGTTAGAAATCTGTGTTTCCAAGTTGCTGCCCTCCCCTTTCTTCACAGAATGACCATGGGAAAGTTGATGGGAAAGTTGTTCCATCTTTCTGAGCCTCATTTTCCTGATCTTTATGATAATGTCAAGTCTCTTCCATCTATAAAATTGTCTCTTTTACCTTTACCGGATGATAAGAGACTTCAGTATAATCCAGGAATTTGGCCAAAAGACACATGAATACATGCTGTTTTATTACCACTCCCTGGTATGGTGTATGGCTAAGCACTAGACTTCAAACCACAGGGTATAAGATTCATGCCCAGCAGCTGCTTCCGAAACCCTTTACAGGGTCTCTAGGAATTGGAATTAGCTAGACAGCACTTTCCCAACAATAGCAACATTGTATGAAATTATATCCCCTGTAACAAATCATTTTAAGTGCCTAGGTTGCATAATCTATTACTGAATTTTATTACTGGCTTTTTCCTCTTTCCATACTAAATTTTATGTGGCATATGGCGGCAAGAACAGAAACGTCAGTTTCTGCTGTTGTTTAGTATTGGGGCTTCTGAAGGGTAAAGATTGAAAGAAGGTGAGAAAACTTCAGTGTAAATTTAATTTGTCACTTACCAGGATCTTATGTAAGTCATTTGTTACTTAAAGTTGTTACAAATTAATACAATGATAGGTATTTGGATCTTGATTGATGCTGTCAAAGTACCATGCTAGTTTTTTTTTGTTTGTTTTTTTAAGTTTTCATTGTAGATTGAGTGAAAGTTTACAGGGCAGATCATCAGTTTTACATTCAACAAATCATATACTTTGTTTCATTACAATGATCATAATCCCCTCCATGTACCATGTATTTCTCGGTATTCATTTTAGCTCCTTTTTTTTTTTTTAAACACTCAGGCATATATAATAATTTAAACCACCAAAGGGCACATTCTGCAAACCTGCCTCCTGACTGCCAGCTCTCAGTCCCTCTAATTCCATGAATTTAGAGTCCTCAGCTGCTCCCTCTCTCCATGTACCCATCTCTGCTTCCGTCTCTGGTGTTGCTGCTTCTCTGGATAAGGTCCTGCATTCCACATCTGCTCTTCCTTGATGGTCCTAGGGTCCTCTGTTTCTGGACTGTAAGATTAACTACTCCCCTGTTTTTGTTACAAAACTGCTACCTTTACAATTGTGACAGTCCCAATTTGTCACAATAACAATTACTATTGAATCATAAGAATCTTATCTCCATCTCTTAACCAGACCCATCTAGACAAGATGAAAACTATTCAGTGGGGACTCTGTCTTCCTCAGCACATTTTTTTCCCCCCAGTAAATCAAACTTTTTTTATATAATGTTTTATTGTGAATTATGTGATAGTTTATTTACATGGGAGAACCTTAGCTTTACATTCATCCTGTCGTATATCATTTCATTACCATGGCTACAATCCCCTCTGTGCATCATCAACCAACCAAATGGTATACCCCGCAATCCTGCCTGTCAGTCGTCAGCACACAGCCCCTCTCCCTCTCTAGTTCTGGAGTCCCCAGCTGCTCCATCTCTCCACGTCATCGTCTCTGCCTCCATCACTGGTGTCACTGTATCTGCTCCTGGACTGCAAAGTCAATAACTCCCCTCCTTTTGCTACAAAACGTCTACCTTTACATTTCCAACCCTAAAAGTTAGTCCTGATAGCAATTATTCACTATTGTACCACAAGAGTCTTATCCACATCTGCTTTCATCAGCCCCACCCAGACAGATTGGATACTACTTAGTGGAGATTTTACCTTCCTCTGCATCTTCTGGATCTAGGCTCCCTCTTGAAAGCTTGTAAGCAGTCACTTCTTGCCTTTGTAGTCCTCCCCCCTCCGCCCCCCCCATTTTGGGAAACCAATGTCCAAGTTGTCCATCCCTGTCTACCCTGTATATTGAGCGGGTGGGACTGGTCCTTGCTGTAAAGATTTGTTCCCTCTTTTGAGCTGCTGCATCCATAGGTGTAGGTCAGGCTTATCAAATTGTATCAGATTACTCTTTTTTCCCTCTTCTTTCTTCTAGTTGAGTTCTGATCATTCAACCATTGAAGCCAGGTCAAGTGAATATTATCTGCAGGTATGGGTGTTCTTGTGCATATACCCTCTCTTCTTAGTTTCACTCTCCACTCTAGTCCTCTGTGGCTATGTCACTGTTTGGGCCCATGAGTCCCCAGGTCTTGCCATGCTGCTGGCCAACCAGGTCTCCACTGGGTAGGACTTAGCTCACAGCTTCATTTCTGTTTTTCCCTCACTTCCTTCCCCTTATCGGTGACCACCATGGTCACCAGTCAGGCCACATGCCTGCTCATTTATTCCCCTTGAGTCTTAGTCTTGGAAGGGGGTTTGCCCTGAGGGGACCCGACCACTTGCCTTGATGTCTCCTGGGCGAACAACTTGCTTGTTCTTGTAGTAGTCAGTCAGACTGCCGTTATTGTTTATTTTTCCTGTCGGTCTTTCTTTCAAGAAATATATTCTGTTCTTCTAGCCTCTCCAGGCTGGTCTGCTTGTCCTTTCAAGTGGAGATTTCCCACCTCAGATGATTCTGGATGGGGTTGAGAATTCCATCTATGGTCTTATGCAATGCAAAGTCTCCGCAGGAAGCCTCCTTGATTATGCAAGTTGTAGCCCCATTTTAGGTATTTGTATCAGTTATAGGCAGAAGACGGACTTATAAGCTTTCTATGGTGATATTTCCAGGTATTCCTTTCTCTCCCCCTCAGGTAGCTATTTTACAATGGTATGCAAGGGAAACTAAGATTCAAAAGACATTATTTCCCCTCTTTTGCCCATTCCAACCATGCCTCAATCCCTGTATCCCAGAGCCATGTTGTTCTAAGATTGTGCATACATCACTATTTACCTCTGTCCCACTTAGCCCACACAAACCTGCTTGACTGTTCTCCCATCTGCCTTGTTCTTCCTTCCACAAACTTTTAAATTATACTCCCTCTTGATACCTTGTAAGCCAGTCACTTTGTGCCTTTATCACCCCCTCATTTTAGGTAGCCAGTGTCTAAATTGCCTGTCCGTATCTACCCTGTATACAGAGGGGATAATATTGATAATTGATGTGAAGACTCCTTCCCTCTCTGTTGGTATTTTGAGCTACTACCTCCATGAGCATAGGTCAAGTTCATCAAATTGTAGCAACTTACCCTTGTTTCCTTTATCACAATTTTTTTTTTTTTTTTAATATTCCTCTAGTCGAGTTTTGATTATCAAGCCATTGAGGCTAGGTTGAATGGGTACTATCTGGAAGTTTGTGTGTTCTTGTACATCTCCTCTACCTTCATATCAGTTGGATGCTTCACTTTTCAGCTCTACCCTTCCATGGCTATGTCCTTGACCATGGACTCGGGAGTCCCCAGGTCTCACCACACTAAGGACCAACCAGCCCTTCCTCTTCTCTCTCTCATCTCCAGGTCAGTGAGAGTCTACAGAACGAGATTAAACTCAGTCCATTTCTTCAATGCTGCCTTTCCCCCTCTTCCACTCACCAGAAGACCAATGTGGTCACCAGCAAGCTTACATGCCTGCTCATGTGTTCCCCTTGAGTTTCAATCTTTGAAGGGGGTTTGTCCTGAAGGGACTTGATTGCTTGTTTCCCGGCAAACAATTTGCTTGTTCTTGCAGTAGCCAATCATAGTGCCATTTTTGTTTTGGGTTTTTCCTGCTGATTTAATGCTACAGTTTAAAAAAAAAATTAAATGATTGTGGTATAAAATTCAAAAGGTACAAAAAAGTGTAGTAGTAAAAAGTAAATTGCATTTTTTTCACGTAGCCCATTTTTTAAAGGTAACTACTTTTCTTGAAGTATTTTTGCATCTGTATCAGTACATTTATTCCTTACTTGGCACAACTGAAGCTCTCTGGAACTTCTCTGCCTGCTCCTTGCAGTACAATATTGGGCGGTTGCTCCATATGTAGACTTGTATAGATAGCTTTCTCTTTTTTTATGGCTGCATAGCATTCCCTTGTATGGTGCACTATAACTTATTTAAAAAATAATTTGTTTTCACACTTTAACTGTTACAAATAAGGCTAGAGTGCTTATACTTGTGTGTGCTTTTATGTACATACAGGAATAAATCTGTAGGATAAATTTCACAAGGTGGAGTTGATGATCTGAAGTTAAATGTGTTTCAAATTTACCTATTAAATATACAGCTTTTTTTCCTTCAATTTTTAAAAACATCTATGCTGGAAACTGAAGAAAAGATATTTTAGCTTATAAATCAAATAAGTATTTAAACTATGCTGCTATCATAATTAGGGCTTCTGATAACTTATTATGATTTAATACATGTATATTCTAGATACTGGTAAAGAATTGTTTCTGTTTTAAATAAACTTCTCACCTACCAAACATGCAGGGTGGAAACTGACAGTATTGAAAAACCAATGAAATCTGTCAGCTACAAATGCTGTATATTCTTGCTCTCAGTGCATCAAAGAGTAAAGCGCCATTTTAACCCTCTGTTGGCTAGGTGTTTTGTTTCTTTTACACAATAGGAAGAAATGTCTTTGACTGTTTTGTAGGGCACAGACCATCATGAAGGCTCGATTGAAAGGCGCACAGACAGGCCGGAACCTCCTGAAGAAAAAATCTGATGCCTTGACTCTTCGATTTCGACAGATCCTAAAGAAGATCATAGAGGTAGAAAGACCTTTGTCCAGAACTGTATTTATTTTGGCGCTATCTAAGGAAAATCCAGCCTGGCCCTTGACAGGTTTCATTTTTCTCTAAGTTATTATAATTACTGTTTTTCAAAAGGAAAAATGCCATTGTCGTAACAAGCTTCAGACAGTTCACTTAATGAAATCCAAATTCCAAATCCTTGCTTGAAAAGCCCCACTTAATCTGATTTGACTTTGCCTTCCTCCTCTAGGGCCTGTTTTCTACCAGAATTGCTCTTTCCCCAGATCCTCTTAAGACTGACTTTTCTGGCCATTCGACTGTCGAAAGAGGCTGTCCTGATCACTCAGTCATTTCGTGCTGTCACATCTTGTTTTATTGTTATTGAAGCATTATTGCATGATTATTTTCAAGTTCTCCCCTCCATTGTCCCTTAGAATGTAAGCTTCATGAGAGAAGAGACTGTTGTTTCACCACTATTTTTCCAGAGCCTAAAATAATGCTGACACGTAGTAACTTTAATTCAATGCTTTTTGGACAACTGATATGTGAATGCAGATATATATTTAAAAAACAAACAAAGGCATTTTTCTCCTATAATTACCGTCTCCCTACAGCCCTGGTATCTTTCTCTCATTTCCTCATGGTGGTTCCTTGTGACTCTTTGGTTTATTATACATACAATTCTGTAACCTTCCTCCCATTCCTCACGGTGACAGAATAGGGACATCTTTCTTCAACATTTGTACAAACAGACGTGCCCCATTATTTGAAGTTTGTTGTTCTTAAGTACTGTTGAGTGGGTGACGACTCAGTGCGAGGAGCAGCACGTGTGTTTGAACCACCATCTTGTGCTTAGCAGGCCAGTGTTTACCCTAACGCTCCACACCAGAATTCCATTCTTAGCAATAGTTGTGTGATACTTCTTTGCATGGATAATAAGATGTAACTATTTCACCTTTCCCTTTTTTGTTTGTTCTTAAATCATATGTGTATTTATGCTAGCATTTTTCTAGAAGAGAATCTTAGCATCTGTAGTTAATCATGTATTCATTAAAAATTTTGATAGGAAAAAAAATTTTTTTTTTGATAACTTACAAATTGGCCTCAAATTATTATACTGGTTTCTATTCCTACTGAATGATGTATCAGAGGGCAGTTTTTCTTAAAATCTTCTTAACTGGATATTGTTGTTGTTAAGTGCTGTTGAGTCGATTTCAACTCATTCATAGTGATCCTGTATAGGGTTTCCAAGGAGCAGCTAGTGAGCTTCAATCACTGACCTTGCAGTTCAAACAGCTTTGCAGTCTGGCGCATTAACCCACAGTGCCACATCAGGACTCCTAACTGGATATTAATCATGTTTAATTATATAAAAGTGGTATCTTGTATTTATTAGTTTGCACTGATTTGGATTATTTGTGTTTTTGTGTTTACTGATAATTTTATTTTCTTGGTGAATTTCTTGTCATATTTACTTGTAGGATATAAAATGAGGGAGTTTTTTTCTGGAAAAACTGAATGAAAATGTAATGACATTTTTTTTCCTCCAAAATCTTTGGAACCCCCTTAGATATGTATTTTGGGGGTGCAGGAGAGGCTAGTGTATAAACTGCTAACAATATTTTCTTCTCCAAGTCTTAATTTTTTTAAAAATGTTATCTTCATTTTTGTTTGATCAAATCATTTAGCCTTTAACTTTGTATAACTTCTGGGTAAAATTTAGAAATATTCTATATTTTATGTATTTTTTTAAAAACTTTTATTTTTAATACATTTGTAGGGTTAGGTTGTTTGGTTTTGGTTTTGGTATGATATGAGGTATAAATTTGACTTTGATCATTTTCAAATTAGCAGCCAGTTGAATGGTTTCTACTTGGTTTCCATGTGTAGGTTTGGGATTGTTTCTGAACTGACTTTTCCATTTCATTCATCAAGAGGCAGTCGTTAGAACATAACAAGGGGATACTAAATGGTTTAGAATCAGAAAAGGTGTGCACCAGGGCTGTTTCTTTCACCATGCTTAATCAATCAGTAGGCTGAGCAAATAATCCAAGAATACGGCATCAGGATTGGAGGCAGACTCATTAACCACCTGCAGCATGCAGATAACACAACCTTGCTTGCTGAAATTGAAGAGGACTTCAAATATTTATTGATGAAGATCAAAGACCTCAGCCGTCAGTATGGATTACACCTCATTGTAAAGAAAATAAAAATCTTCACAACTGGACCAATAAATAACATCATAATAAGTAGAAAAGATTGACGTTGTCTAAGACTTCATTTTGTTTGGATCTACAATCAACACTTATGGAAGCGGCAGTCAAGAAATCAAGTGACGTATTGCATTAGGCAAATCTGCCGCACAAGACCTTTTTAAAGTGTTCAAGAGCAAGCATGTCAGTTTGAAGACTAAATTGCGCCTGACCCAAGCCATGGTATTTTCGTAATCTCGTATGCATGTGAAGGTTTGACAGTGAATAAGGCAGGATGTTTGAATTAAATGTTGGAGAAGAATAGTAAAAGTACCATGGACAGCCAGAAGAACAAGCAGGTCTGTGTTGGAAGAGGTACAGCCAGAATGCTCCTTAGAGGCACAGAGAGTGAGACTTTGTCTCTCATACTTCGCACATATTATCATCAGGAGGGACCAGTCCTTGGAGAAGGACATTATGCTTGGTAAAGTGAAGGGTCAGCAAAAAAAAGAGGAACATCTCCAATGAGATGGATTGACACCATGGCAGCAGCAGTGGGCTCATGAATCACAATTATGAGCATAGCACAGTGTTTCATTCTGTTGTGAATAGGGTCACTGTGCTATGAGTTGGAACCAACAACAAAGTATCGAACATGGAGTCCTGGTATGGTGCTGTAAGATAAGCATTGGACTGTTAACCACAGGGTTGGAAATTTCAATCCCACCAGCCACTCCTTGGAAATCCTATACTGGGTCGCTGTGAGGTGGGACTAACTTGACAGCACTTAACGACCAGTATCAAACATACTTCCTTATCATAACTAGATTTTTAATACCTGGTAAGGCAACTCCCCACCCACCTATTAGGTTTTCTTGTCTTTCAATAAAATGATTGGATATTCTCAAGCATTAAATCATCTAGAAACTATATGCAGTAAGATTTTGACTACAATTGCAGTGTATTTAAGAGATTAATTTGAGCAAATCAAAGTATACCCATTAAAGATAAGATAGGTCCTTCAGTAAAGCGTCACAGTTTTCTAGTAATGTGTTTATTCAGATGCTTTCATTTCAAAACTCCTGGCTTTGCAATATTGTTAGTGACCATAATCAAAAATATTCAAGATAATTGGAAATTTTTCTTTTGTCATTATCATCAAATTAATATTTATGTGCACACTAAACACAAAATACTGATGGATATTAAATGAACATAATTATGAACAGTTTTTCCTTGTAAGAAACTTGGTTGAATCTGTTGGTTTGTGCTTTTCCAGACTAAAATGTTGATGGGTGATGTGATGAGGGAAGCTGCCTTTTCCCTTGCCGAGGCCAAGTTCACAGCCGGGGACTTCAGGTAACAAGATTAAATGGGGTATTTTGGAAAAACAAAGTGCTTTCATGGTCATTTTATTTATAAACCATTTTTATATTTAAAGATGTATAAACTTAAAAACAAATTATATAGTAATAAGAAGGAAGAACGTTTTAACCCTCATTGCTTTAATACCATTGTTTTTATTACCACTCAGATTTATGTTTTACATAATTGCAGGAATAGGATTTAAACTGCAGGGTCCGTAGTTCAAACCCACCAAATGCTTTTGCAAACCTTATATAGCATTGCTGTGAATCTGAACTGATGGGATGGCACAACAATTGGCACTGTTATTAAGTTCCATCAAGTTGGTTCCAACTCACTGACCCTGTACAGGGTTTCTGAGGAGCGACTGACTGGTGGATTTGAACTACCAACTTTGCAGTTAGCAGTTCAGTCCTTTTCCTATAGCGCCACAGCAAGACTCCAAAATGGGTCTTATGGGGCTAAAATTAAGGTGTCAGCAGGGCTGCATTCCTTCTAGAGGCTAGAGGGAAATATCAAAAAACCTTCTAGAGGTTTCCTTTATTCCATGGCTCATGGCTACATCACCCTGACTTCTGTTTCTGTCATCACATCACCTTCAATAGACATGTTGTTGTTAAGTGCATTCGAGTTGATTCCAACTCATAGTGTATTCCTTTCATCTTCTCTTGATGCTTTCTGCATCATTCAATAATTTGCCCAGCGAATCTTTCAGTAACGAAAGTCGAGGCTTGAATTTTTTCTTCAGTTCCCACAGCTTGAGAAATGCTGAGCGTGGTCTTCCTTTAGGTGGACTTTAATCTCCAACCTTTAAGTTAGCAGCCCAGGGCTTTAACATTTGCACTACCCAGGAATTCCACCACCATTTTTTTGTTTTAACTTTTTATTGTGAATTGAGTAAAGGTTTACAGACAGTATCATCAGTTTTACATTCGAGAAATTATACACTTTGTTTCATCTCAATGATTCCAATCCCCCCCAAGCAACAAGTTATCCCACTTCCTCCTTGTGGTTCCTGTTTCCATTCCACCCTCATCATATCCCTTCTCAACTTGGTCCTTCTGTTGCCCTTTTGAATTTGAATGATTGACAGTTCCATCATTCATAGTGAGCATACCTCACTAGTGTTGTTGTCTCCGTATATTCCTATCTACTACTCAAGCTTAAAGTTGGGCCATGAGCGTGAGTTGCTTTCTAGACCTGAATGGTGCTGCCATTCTTCATTTGTGTTATCTAATAGCTTTTCCTCATAGCAGGTTTTACAACTTGAGGGGCATACTGGTCTCTGAAGTGGTAGGCTTTAATTGTTCACCAATATTGGTAAAATAAATAGCATTGATTTTTCCAGCAGAAGAAGAAATCAATGTTTACTTGTCATGTGACTGTGACCCAGGGTAGTTATGGAGAAAACACATTTTCTGATAATAACAGGGAATCAGACAGGGCTGATGGAAGTTAGATAAATTCTGGGATAAAGATCCAACTCCTGCTTAACTAGTTGACCAGCAAACCTAGACGGTAGCACAGTTTTCTTCTAATTACACTGGATGAATAAAATCATATCCATGCATCCAAGGTATTACTGAAAGCTCAAACATTTTCTGTACTTTCAAAATCATTCATGCCTTGGTGGTGCAATGGTTAAATGCTCAAATGCTGACCTGTGGGTCAGCAGATCAAACCAACCAGTTGCTCCGCAGGAGAAAGATATGGTAGTGAGCTCTTGTAAAGGTGTTGTTTTGAAGTCCCACAAAGTCAGTTTCGACTCATAGCGACCCTGTATAGGGGTTTCCAAGGATCGATGGGTGGATTTGAACCACCAACCTTGCAGTTAGCAGCCCAATGCTTATCCTACAGCACCACCTTCGGACTGGAAACCCTGTGAGGCAGTTCTGTCCTGTAGGGTCGCTGTAAGTCAAGTAGTCATTGGCAATAGTTTTGATGCTTTGAATGTTCTTGTTCTGCTCTCTGAGGCTCTCTTCTTGCAGCAGAGATTTCTCTCCTTTTCTAGAAAAAGACAATTATCAAGACCTATTTGTGACATCTTACTCTTGGTCTAATTTATTGTTGAAAGTATCCAATAGGTTTCTGCAAGTTTTTTTCTCATTCTAGAACCGCAACTAAATAGAGGCCTTCTATTTTTCTGCAGCACCACAGTTATCCAAAATGTGAATAAAGCCCAAGTGAAGATTCGTGCTAAAAAAGATAATGTAGCAGGTAAGGTTTCAACTCTAGAAAGGGGGAGAGAAGATGGCCTTTACAAATGAACTTGTTTACATAGCAAGTCCTTGACTTCCCAGTGTCTCACTTCCTCTTATGGCAAGTTAATTGATTTTAGATGTTAAAACTGTAATAACTAGGACCATGATTACTGAGGATGATTTGACTTTTGACTAGAAATGAACATTTAAGGAACTTAATGTCTGAATTCATTCATTGAGACCATGTTACAATTCCAGAAATAATCTCTTGAGTTTTGAGTATTTGATGGGAAACAGGATTAGCGATGAACAAAGTATTTCAGCGTTATTTCTGTGACTGTATCTATGCTTCTCGGAGTCCTGGTGTGGCAAATGCACTGGACTGCAAGCTCTGCAATGTAAGCAGTTGAAGCCCACCAGCCGCTCCTTGGAAACCCTATACAGGGTCTCTATGAGTCAGAACTGACTCAATAGCACTTAACAACACAATATTTGCTTCTCTGTTTCACAGGTGTTACTTTGCCAGTGTTTGAACATTATCATGAAGGAACAGACAGTAAGTGACGCTTTTTGTAAACCATGGCTCTTTCTTTCATTATGAACCCACCTATTAGACTTCTGTTGTCTTTCCACGCATAGGAAGGAATTGCTTGTAATTTCTAGGTTGGTTTTTAAAAAAATACTATAAGATCTTAAGCATTGGGATGGAATTTAAATGCTGAATCTTTGTAGATTTTAATAGCTTCCCCATGGTTTGTAATTCTCTCACCCATCTTAATAAGTCTTTTCAAAGTTATTCACTTACCCGCCCCCCCACATGGAAACAGTATTCTGTTTTGCGTGTATTCATAGTTCATTGGTTTATGTAGTGTTTAATCAAATCACACTGAATAAGAAACACAAAGAAGCAGAGAATCCCAGAGCTACCAGGGAGCATCTCTGTATTGCAGCTCATCAGGCGGTGTAATTTACAAAGGGAATGTGTGGCACTGTTTAATCCAGCAAGCTGGGGTCATGAGGTCCGGTGAAAGGCTGCTTCTGTGACTATCTTTAAAATAGTGTCTTTTTGGAAACCTTTAGTCAGCGCCATAGGCCTGCAGTTTAAGGAGTAGTGGGATGGGCATTTAACTGGGGTCAGTAAATTTATCTTTCCATGTTCAGTAGTAATCTGTATTATCTTCTTTTGGGGAATCTAATGGGAAAGATTGTTTTGTTTTGTTTTCTGTAATTACAAATGTTGTCTGACTGGCTCTTTCAGGCTATGAACTGACTGGTTTAGCCAGAGGTGGGGAACAATTGGCAAAGTTAAAGAGGAATTATGCCAAAGCAGTGGAACTCCTGGTGGAACTCGCTTCGCTCCAGGTAAGGAGCAGCAGAGCTAGAGGGCTGCTGAGGTTTATTTCCAGTCGTCAGCTGGGGAAGCTTCAGGTCTTGTATCAGAGCATACTTGAGTCAGCCGGTAATCCACACTCTGCATGAACCTGTGTGAAACTGGCCCACGAGCTTTTCATTGACGACACGGTAGCTTCCACACCATTGTTGCTACCTTTACTGCTAACAAAATGTTGTGTGATTTTTTTTTTTTTTTCCTGCTAGGTGAAAAGAGCAACAGTCACCACAAGACTTAAATATAAATAGACCATGATTTTAGGCATGAAGGGCATTTTTCTTTCATGACCAGATATCTGTTATCTAGGTTATTAGTTCAGCATTCTCTCCTCTTGACAACTTTATGTATTTATTTAAGTTGGAAGTAAGTAAATTATGGTGTTGGTGGTTATGTGCCGTGGAATCGGTTCCGACTTAGAGCAACCCTGCACAGGGTTTCTAAGGCTGTAAATCTTTATGGGTGCAGAAAGCCTCATCTTCCTCCCACGGAACAGCTGGTAGTTAACTAGAACTGCTGACCCTGAGGTTAGCTGCCCAATTTATAGCCACATTATAGTAGCATGGAAATAGTGTTAGGTCTGTGGAAATCACAAGAAGGTCCTGGTTTGTCAACATATTCCAAAGTAGTAGTCTTGGTTCCCAAATGCTTTTCACAAGTCTCAGTAGAGTCAAGTCAACAGAGCAGGATTAGAAAATCTTTGTTCTTACATGATTAATTTGTCCTCTTATTTTAGACCTCCTTTGTTACTTTGGATGAAGCTATTAAGATAACCAACAGGCGTGTCAATGCCATTGAACATGGTGAGTATAAGCTGTTTTTGGAGGTACTATGCTCATTCATTTGTCCATCCCCCTACCCCCCCCACCCCCACTGGTTACCAGCCACTAGGAATCAGCTGCTGTAAGAAACACTCAGGATTATAAAATGAATCAGACATGCCCACAGTGGGAAGAGAGAAGGGTGTTAGTAATCCATAAAGCACTATTAAGTTCTTTGAAAGAAATGTGAGTAGGATGCAGGGACTTAAAGAGGTGAGTTATGATTTATTAGTTTTTGGTTATTCGTACAACTAGTAAAGGATGCAAATCTAAATTTCAAACAGGCTTCCCCCAGTGGTGCTTTCTGTATTTTTTTCCAGTGTGTAAGCAATACATCTTTATTCATATTGCTGTTGTTAGGTACCGTTGAGTTGGTTCCCACTCATAGCAACTCTGTGCACAACAGAATGAAACACTACCCAGTCCTGCGGCATCCTCACAATTGTTATTATGCGTGACTCCAGTGGTGCTGCCACTGTGCCTGTCCATCTCGGTGGAGGTCTTCCTTTTTTTGCAGATCTTCCACATTTCCAAGCATGATGTCCTTTTCTGGGGACTTCCTGATAACGTATTTGAGGTATGAGAGATAAAGTCTCACTATCCTGGCTTCTAAGGAACACTCAAATGTACGTCTTTGGACACAGACCTGTTTGTTCTTCTGGAAGTCCATGTCTTATCTAACAACACAACTTACATGCATCAACTCTTCTACAATCTTTTTTATTGTCCAACTGTCACATGCATATGGAGCTATTGAAAATACCATGGTCAGGTGCACTTTTGACCAAACTAACATCTTTGCTCTTGAACAGTTTAAAGAGGTCTTGTGAAGCAGGTTTGTGTAATGCAATATGTTGTCTGACTTCTTGGCTACTGCTTGCGTGAGTGTTGATAGTGGATCCAAGCAAAATGCAGTTTTTGGCAGCTTCGATCTTTTCTCCATTTATCGTGATGTTATTTATTGGTTCAGTGTAAGGACTTTTGTTTTCTTTACATTGAAGTGTAACCCATACTGAAGGTTGTGGTCTTTGATCTTCATCAGTAAGTATTTTAAGTCCTGTTTGCTTCCAGCAAGGTTGTATTATCTGCATATTGCAGATTGTTAATGAGTCTTCCTCCAATTCTGATGCCACATTCTTCTTCATATAATCCAATTTCTCAGATTATTTGCTCATCATAATGATTAAGTATGTGAAGGAAAGCAACCCTGGCACACAGCTCTCCTGATTCTAAACCATTCAGTGTCCCCTTGTTCTATTTGAGTGACTACCTCTTGGTCTATGTACAGGTTCTTCCTCATGAGTACAGTTAAGTGTTCTGGAATACTCATTCTTCCCAGTGTTATCCAGCGCTTCTCAGGTTCCACATAGTCAAAAGCCTTTTCATATTCAACAAAGCACAGGTAAACATCTTTCTGGTATTCTCTACATTCAGCCAAGTTCTGTCTGACATCAGCAGTGATAATCCCTAGTTCCACATCCTTTTCTGAATTCCTGGCAGTTCTCTGTCAACGCTCTGTTGCAACCATTTTTGAGTTATCTTCAGCAAAATTTTACTTGTATGTGATATTAATGATACTGTCCAATGATTTCTGCATTTTGTTGGGTTACCTGTCTTTGAAATGGGCACAAATATGGATTTCTTCCATTTAGTTGACCAGGTAGCAGTTTTCCAAATTTCTTGTTGATTATGAATGAGCCCCTCCAGTGCTGCATTGGTTTGTTGAAGGATTTCAATCTGTTATCCATCAATTCCTGAGTACTGTTCTTTGCCAGTGCCTTCAGTTCATCTTGGGCCTACTCCTTCAGAACCAGTGGTTCTTGATCATATGCTGCCTTTTGAAATGGGTGAACATCAACCATTTCTTTGACTCTGTATACCTTCCAACTTCTTTTGATACTTTCTGCATCATTCAATATCTTGACCATAGAATCCTTTAGTCCTTCAAGCTGAGGGTTGAATTTTTACTTCAGTTTTTTTTAGTTTCAGAAATGCTGATTGTGTTCTTCTATTGTGCTTTTGTAATTCCTGGTCTTTTGCACATTTCATTATAATACTTTGCTTTGTCTTCTTAAGCTGTCCTCTAAAATTTTCTGTTCAGCTCTTTTACCTCCTCATTTCTACACTGTTTCACAGTCCCTTCTGGCATCCATTTTAGACTATCCTGAGCGACCTTTGCTTTCTTCTTGTATGATGTTCTTGATGTTATCCCACAGCTCTTCTGGTCTTCGCCCATTAGTGTCTAATGCAACAAATCTGTTCTTTTAGAATGGTATTTAAATTCAGGTGGGAAATATGTTCCAGGTCATATTTTTTGGCTCTTGTGGACTTGTTTTAATATTCTTCAGCTTCAGCTTGAACTTGTATGTGAGCAATCAGTGGTCTGTTGTACGTACAGTCTGCCTCTGGCCTTGTTTTGGCTGATGATTTGGAGGTTTTCCACCGCCTTTTCTCACAAAGGACTTCTGGTGTAGTGCTGTGGATCAGCATTGGACTGAGACCCACAAGGTTGGCAGTTCAAACCCACGAGCTGCTCCTTAGAAACCCTATACAGGGTCACTATGAGCCAGACCTGACTTGACAACACTCAGCAACAACAGCTTCCCACAGATATAGCCAATTTGATTCCTGTGTATTCCATCTGGTAAGGTTCATGTGTGTAGTCACCATTTATGTTAACATAAAGAAGGTATTTGCAATGAATAAGACATTGGTCTTGCAAAATTTTATCATACGATCTCTGGTATCATTTCTTTCACCAACACCATATTTTCCAACTGCTTATCCTTCTTTGTTTATAGTCTTAGTATTCTAATCACCAGTAATCAGTACATCTTGATTCCATGTTTGATCAATTTCACTGAAGAAGTTGATAGAATTCTTCAAATTCTTTATCACTGGTTTTCGTGATTGGTACATCAGTTTGAATTAGGCATATAGATGTTGTCCTATCACAGACAGCATTGTACTTTTAGATCTTGACATTTTCTTTTTGACAATGAATGTGATGGCATTACTCTTTCATTTGTTGTTTAGGCATAGTAAACTATATGTTGTCTCATACAGAATGGACAGTACCAGCCCATTTAGCTCATTAATGCCTAGGATATCTATGTTTGTGCTTTCTGTTTCAGTTTTGAAACTTCCAATTTTCCTAGATTCATACTTCCTAAGTTGAATGTTCTGATTATAAATGAATGTTTGCAGTGGTTTCTCTTCATTTTGAGTTGTGCCCCATCAGAAAATGAAGGTCCTGAAAACTTTACTCCATTTGCATCGTCATGGTCAACTCTACTTTGAGGAAGCAGCTCTTCTCCACTGGTATTTTGAGGGCCTTCCAACCTGAGGGGCTCATCTTCTGGCACTGTATCTGACAATATTCTGGTGCTCTTCATCATGTTTCAGTATTCAGTAATCTGGTGTTGACAGTGTTCTACTGCTATTCGTAAGGTTTTCAGTGGCTAAGCATTCAGATGTAGTCCACCTTTCCATCTTCCTAGTCTGTCTTAGCCTGGAAGCTCAGGTAAAAGCTGTCTACCACAGGTGACCCTGCTGGTATTTAAAGTACCGGTGGCATAATTTCCAGCACCACCGCAACTCACAAGCCACCAAGTACGACAAACTGACAGATGAGTGGAGTCCTTTTTAAAATATAATTTTAAATTCCCCTCCTTTAGGCCTTATGTCCTGTACTTGATTTCTAGAAATAAATTTTGATTCATTTCTTTTTCTTCACTGTTAACAGTACTTTCTGCTCAGTTTGCATTAAACATTTCAGTTTTAAGAAACGAGAGGAGCAAAGTCCAAATAGTAAATTATTTTATTTCAGGTTCTATTAGTGTTAGAAAGGAAGTTATGTTGTATTTTAAAATGCAAAATATATTTCTTCTGTGCTTACTAGTACTTTGTACTTGAAACTGCAAGCCAAACAAAATGAATAAGGTAATGGTGCTTACCCTTTAAAGAGAATAGAATCAGAGTAAGCAAATTCTGTATTAAGTAGAACCTAATGACTGGCATAAAACTCAACAAATCCTAATTTTTTTGCTCATCTACTTAATGTCTGTGTTTCAGAGTGATGTATTTATGTTTTGTCAATAGATTCGTGTTGTATATGTTTTGGTCCAGTATGTTATCTATGGATAGAAAAGACACTAGATAGAAAGGCATATACCAAAATCCTTACAATGATTACTTTGGAATGACTGGATTGTATTTCATTTTTGGTGTTCCTGTGTATTTGTTTTTTAAGTTTTCTGTATTGTTGTTGTTAGGTTACCTTCAAGACAATACTTACTTATAGCAACCTTATACACAGCAGAACAAAACATTGCCTGATCCTGGACCAACCTCACAATTGTTGCCACACTTGACCCTATTGATGCTGCCACTCTGCCAATCCATCTCGCTGGGAATCTTCCCCTTTTTCTCAGACCTTGCACCTTAACCAAACATGATATCCTTCTCCAGTGACTGGTCCCTCCTTACAATATGTCTGAAGTGTCAGAGACGAAGTTTGCCCATCGTGGCCTCCAAAAAGCACTCTGGCTGCTCTTTTTCCAACACAGATCTGTTGGTTCTTTTGGCAGTTCATGGCACTTTCAATATTCTCCAACACCATAACTCAAAAGCATCAATTCTTCTACAGTCTTCCTTATTCACTGTCCAGCTTTCACATGCATATGAGATTATTGAAAATACCATGGTTTGGGTCAGGCACACCTTAGTCTTCAAGCTGACATCTTTTAAAAAGGTCTTGTGCAGCAGATTTGCCTAATGCAATACGTCGTTTGATTTCTTTACTGCTGCTTCCATGAGTGCTGATAGTTGATCCAAGAAGAATGAGGTCCTTGACAACTTCAATCTTTTCTCCATTGATAAGAATGTTGTTTATTGGTCCAGCAGTGAGGATTTGTTTTTTTTTTACATTGAGATGCAATCCATACCCTAGGCTGTGCTCTTTGATCTTCATCAGTAAGTAT